CCATCCCCCAGCCCTGCTGGTGCTTCTACGTTATCAAACATGGGGAGACGGGCAGGGGCCCTCTGAGGAGGATGGGGAAAATCAAGTGTGACTGGAGCAGGATCTGCTGACAGCCCCCCTGTGCCCCCACATGTATTAAGCACTAGTGTGCGCAGGCGGCTCCCTAAGGTGCTGGCACCGGTGCTTTCTGTCATCATTGCCCTACGAGGCAGAGAATGCCCCTCCGCATCCATTCTCCTCCGCTTTCTCAACTGCACAGCTCAGATTTGGCTGGAGGTGGAAACGTGCCCAACTTGGAAAACTGCCATCCCCCACCTTCCTGGCCGTCGGTGGCTCAGTTCTGACCAGTGAAATGTAGAGCGTATCCTTCCTTCCAGAGATGTGGTAGGCACCACCACTTCCTCCTTCCACCTGGTTTCTCCTTTCTCTTGCCTGGAACGAAGCCATGATGGCTGGAGCCAAAGCAACGACCTTGCAACGATGAGGGAAAGGTCAAAAATACCCAAAGACCTTGACTTTGACATCCTGAAGCTGCTAAACTGCTGCCAGCCACTGCCAGCCCAGATTTCTCAGAGGAGATACATGCCTCTGTCTAATTAAGTCACTGTATTTGGGTTTCTTTTATACGCAAGTAAGTGCAGTTTTGCTGGGCCTGTTTGCACCACAGCTAAGCAGGCTGCTCCGGGCTGTTCCTGAGTGAGGCAAAGGCTTGCTGCAGGTGCGGCTGCCCCTGGGGCCTGATGACCAAGCACATTTCAATGGCACACCGCGTCCCTGCAGAGCTGGGCAGGCCCAGTACGACATTCCATGGTCTCCTCAGGGTTTGAGCAAGGCTTTCTTTGGCAAAGGTGTCTTCTTCTTTGACATGGAACTAGTGGCTTCTTACTGGGCTCTCACAGAGAGGGGACGCCTGACTGTGAGACGCTGAGTGGCCCTGAGACGGGGGATGTCCCTCAGCGCTACAGGCACTGTCACCGTGCACAGGTGCCCTGGGTCAGCTTAGGGTGAGGGCTTCTGTAGGGGCTCAGCCCCCCATGGTAACAGCTGCCTGGCCACTTCCCCCCAGCCCACATCTGAGGCCCTCTGGGGAGTCCCTAGACTATTTGAGGAGGCGTGTTCGTATGTCATGTACAGACAGAGCTGCAAGAAATGTTGGCACCAACTCTCAGAGGACGTGGCAGCCCACTTGGGGAGGGATGTGGAAAAGGGACACCGTCTCGGTGGGCAGAATGGGGAACGTGCCTGCTGGCCCACGTGGACTGGCAGGAGAGGTGGCCTGGGACACAGATTACAGTGTCCTGGGCAGTTGCCAAACACTCACTCAAGGGCCAGGGAAGGGGAGGAAACGGGTTGGAGGGGCGGTGACGGGGGGGAGAGAACGGCAGCCTTCCGTGATGCTCTCCACAGGGCCGAGGCCCGAGGAGCTCCGCTCAGTGGGCAGGACGGCCTCTCTGCCCGGCGTCAGCCTGTATCCTGGCTGCGGTGGACGAAGGCTCCTTCGGGCCACGCGAGGACTTCCCCTTACTGCGCTTCTCAGGCCGCAGCTCTCGGGCACCCAGCTGGCCAGCAGGTGGCAGGTCAGCTACTCTGAACACTTTCCCTCCTGACAGTGTCTGGGGCTGGACACTCATTCTGCCCATGGCCTCCTTGCTGCCCACCCTGCTTCTGCCAACACCACACCCGTCTCAGTGTCCCACCCATCACTGTTACTCGCCAAGGGACTCTCTTTACAACCTGCAAGTGTGGCCAGAGGCGGTGCTTACAAGACCCCCTGGCCTGGCCCTGGCCCCACGCGGGTTCTGGCACCAGCGCGAGGCTCAGGTGCTGTCCTGTCTGCGGTCCTGTGGATGCTCCTCCAGCCAGGGACACGGGTCCGGGCGCCAAGGGAAGTGGTGGTGGTGGCCCTCACACCACCCCCGGCCAACCACTCACAGTATTTCTGCTTCTCATGTCCAACACTGTTGACTCCAGACTGGAGGCTTTAGATCCCAAAGGAGAATGCTTCCTCAAAGGGGAGCTGCCTCTGGGTCAGAGGGATGCCCTCGTGTTGGGGGGGGGGTCACACTTCTTGGCCGAGGACGGGTGCTCCTCCTGAGGGGTGGGGACATTCCGCCTGCCCTGTGCTCCCCCTTTCCTGGGCACAAATATTCTAGAGGCCACACTGCTGACCAGCTCCCAACTCCATGTTGGGGCCTTCACATCCCAGGAGTGGCCAGGGCACCCTGGCCGCTGGTCGGCCTCGGCCCTCACGACTCTGGCCCCTGAGTCCCACCCAGTCTTGACTGAGGTGGCCAGAGCTTGGCCACAGTGTGGCCTGGGCCTGGGCTCCTGTTCTGGCTGTCCCAGGAGTCTCCCCTCTGGCTCACTTCTGCATGGAAAAACCCTGACAGCAAGGGCACCGGGGTGCCGCTGCCCAGGCCACCGGGCCGGTGTGCCGGAGCTGGCTGAATGGCACCCATTGTTCCCTGTGCCCAGAGCCCCAGGAGGCTCCTGCATGTGACGGCAGTGCTCTCCTTGCGGGACACACACAGGACACGGCGCGTGGAGGAGCAGGCGGGTGCAGGCGGCTCTGTCTGTGAGCATGGCTGCAGCCCACACAAACCCCAGAAGCTGCCCCTCCCTCAGCTCCGGAGAGAAAGACGTGCGAGACACAGGTCAGGGTGGGCGCCTTGCCCGGAGCACGTGGCAGCAGCTCCAGGCCCCAACCCGCTCCGCCCCCAGCTCCACACAACCTGCTGAGCCGCGGGACCTCCCTGAGCTCCGGTAGAAGTCTTAGTAAAACGGATCTGCCCGCCCTGGCCTGTTTGGCTCAGCGGTTAGAGCGTTGGCCTGCGGTCCAGAGAGACCCGGGTTCGGTTCCCGCTAAGGGCACGTACTTCGGTTGCAGTTTGTCCCCGGCTCTGGTTGGTCGTGTGGGTGGCAGCCACTCGATGTGTCCCTTCACGTCGATGTTTCTCTCTCTTCCTCTCTCTCCCTCCTGCTCTATCTAAACAAAGAATGAAAAACTGCCCTGCCCGCCCCGCAGAGCTGAAGAGGGCCTTGGTTTCCGGTGCCTCCCATAGCCACTGGGGTCTGGTGTGCTGGCTGGAAAACACCCACCCAGGGCTGGGCCAGAGCGGTGAGGCGTCTTGGGTCTGCCCCCCGCAGTCCCCGTGGCTGTGTGGCTGAGACAAGGTGTTCAGCAGAAACATCCGGATGGCTCAGTAGGAGCTGAATGTCAAAGTCTCCGCCTTCTAGGAGCCCCCCTGAGCTGCAGGGGGGACTGTGGGTGTGATCCCCTTGGCCCCCTCCCTCTGTGACCTTGAACGAAGCCAGCCTGCCCCCGCTGGCCTTTCTCCCTGTCCACCTACACTTGGGCTTGTGAAAAGCCCCAGGGGAGGAAGGGGTGGCACACCACGCCCAGCGGAGCCTGAAAGTTGGGAATTGGAGATGGGGCCCACAGGAGAAAGGCTCGGGGCGAGGTTGGGTGGGCTGCTGGATGGAGAGAAGCAGGGAGGGAGAGGGAGAGACACTGAGGCCAGGCCGAAGGGCTGCAGGCCCTCCAGGAGGAAGGGGACGATCTTGCCACCGAGGAAACCGAGCAGCTGAGGCTGTATCGGGGGCGAGGAGGAGCTGTGTCGGAGAGCCAGGCCGGTCATGCAGAGCGCCATGCTCCCCTGCTCTCCATGGGGACTGGCCGATCGTACTGCTGCAGAATGACCAGCGACCTGTGGGAGCTCCCCAGCTAAGCTGTTTGCATAAAACGGTAAGGACGTGATGTTTCTGCCACATGCAACAGCTATTCTCCCTCCCCGAGACGTTGGGAGTACACACGGACCCCACACGTGTTTGCGTGCATTAGAGCTCCCGCGCCAGGCCACACGTCAGGCCAGGGCGACAGAGCAGCTCAGACAGGCCGGGGCTCCGGGGGAGCCGAGGTGGGGCTGCAGCTGTGCCGGGAGCTCCAGGGGTGGGCTCTCAGGTAAGGGACAGGTGCTTGGCCGGAAGCCCTGCATGCACAGGCTGGAGCAGCCCCTGTGCCTGTGCCCCAAGCAGAGGGGTGGGCGGAGAACGGGATGAGGCCACGTGCCTCCCACACGTACTCTCCCCAGCTGCCCAGCCCGGCCTGTGAACACAGGAGTCTCCTACCGTGCCTGGGGGACTAGGGTCATGATTGTGCCCTTTCTCCAGCCAAGCAGACCGAGGACCCCTGGAATCACACAGAGAGCATCTGAGACAACAAACAAGACAGCCGGCCATCAGGGCCTCGTCTGCACCTTTTCCTTCAGGTCAGAGAGGCAGAGTCTCGTGCACTCCTGGTCGCGTGTGTGCCTGCCTGTGGCATGGACACCTATGTATGATACATGCATATGCGTGTGTATACCTCCATATGGTGGGCGGGTGTGCACATGTATGGTGGGTGCACAGGTGTGCACTGTGGCTGTGCACAGGTGTGAGTGCGTGGTGCGTACATGTATGAGAGCATGGGGCTGCACAAGGTCGCCTCTGTACCTTCTGCTGTGTCACACAGCAGTCACCCAACCCCCACGGCCGGTGCAGGGCAGCCACTTCTGAACGTGCCGCACACACTCAGGACGCGGGCCCAGTAAGAGCCAGCACACCCTGCACGCACAGGCCGGGCCTCCCCTCCCCAGGCCCTGCACACACCTTCACCCATCTTCACGTGTGCCCTTCAGGTGGGCACCAGCCCCTTTTACAGAGGACTTAGGAAGACTGAGTCCCAGCCCTAAGTCGCCCAGCACGGGAGGTGGCTGCAGCCTGGCCTGTCAGCTTCTGAAACGGCTCCACCCTCCCAGCTACCCAGGCGGAATCTCCAGCGTGGCCCCCCCTCTCCACCCTTCGTGGGCCCTGCATGATGAATGAGACTGGAAATAATGAATGAAAACACATCTCCTGATAGAGACAGAGGCGGTGTGGCCTGGGTTGGGGCCCAGAGCAGTCTCTGAGGCCACAGGTAGGACAGAGCTCAGAACAGACCCCCGCCCCACCCCGGCCCCTACCTGAGCCCTGAGGGGCAGCGCTGGACAGGATCCACTTGACCAAGCAGCACCGCATCAGGGCCTGGCGGGTGAGCCTTGGCCTCTGCCACTTGACACCCTGCTTCTTGCTCAGCGGTGTGCTCCCGGGGTCCCCCAGGAGGCTGCCATCTGACACCTTCATCGCCTCCTGCAGCAGGAACAGGCAGAGTGGCCTAAGCGGTGCTCACAAGGGAGTAGCCCCTAGGCCCCTCCAACCTCTTAGGCAAGGCATCCAAGCTTCTCCCAGGGTCTTGTCTTGCAGGGGTGCATGCCTGGAGCCCTCAGTCCCGGCTGCAGTGTTCCAGGGCCCTGTTCCTCCTCGCACCTGCCATCTCCTGCCTGGTGTCTCACCAGCCTAACTCGGCAAGAGCCCTGGTCTGCATGGCAAGGGCACCCTGCGGGCACAGACGGTGTCCACTAGAAAGCAGCCCAGTGCCCCAAGACAGAGGAGGAGAACGACGACGAGGCCACGTGCCTCCCACACGTACTCTCCCCAGCTGCCCGCCGGGCCTGTGGACACAGCGGTCTTTCCCACGCAGCTGTGCTCCTCGCCCGGCTGGGGAAAGCCTTCCAGTGGGCCGGCTCATGCTCTAGCACCCGGCCACAAGGCTCCTCTCCACTGAAGCCCCCCAGCTGTCCCGCTGAGGGCATTGGGTCTGCCCACCTGTCCACAGTCCCCCAACAGCAGGTCTGTGCAGTGGAACCCTGGGTTGAGGGCAGGGCCTGTGGGCTCCCCACTCGGCACCCTGGTCTGGCACATGATGGGACCCCTGAAAGGAGGGTGGTGAGGTCCAGACTCGCTCATCAAACTCCTGCCCTGGCACAAGTCTGGCTGTCAGAACTGGACAGTTCCTTAGAGATTACAACCCCTCCCTTGACTGTAGCCCAGAGAGGGCAGTGAATCTGCACAAGGTCACACAGCAAAGCTGGGCTTCCTCACTTCCCTCCTGTGCCCTCCATCCTTCCTGCCTGAGGTAGGACAGGGCTGCATGAGACCCCCAGCCTCACCGAGGGGCACGCTGGTGGAACCCCTGCCCGGAGTTGTGCGAATGAACAGCTCAGAGGAACTGGAGGAATCTGGGCGGAGATCACCACGGGGGATTCGGAGATGCTGGACCTGAGCCCCAGTGGCGTGGGTGGGAGAGGACAGCCTGGGCAGAGGCCCCCGAGCAGCAAGCTTTGTTTTTCTATAACAATAGTTGAGCCCTGGCCGGTGTGGCTCAGTGGTAGAACATAGGCCCGCAGACTAATGAGTCGCAGGTTCGATCTGGTCAAGGGCACGTGCCTTGGTTTCGGTTCATCCCCAGCCCTGGTTGGGGTCATGCAGGAGGCAACCAGTCGATATGTCCCTCTCCAGTCGATGTTTTTCTCTCTCTCCCTTTCTTGCCCTCTGTCTCCCTCCCACTCTATCTGAAGATAAATGGGAAAAAAATATCCTTGGGTGAGGATTAAAAAAAAACAACAGTTGGAGCCCCCTGCCCCATCCTGGCTCCCAGAGCACCCGCTGTCCTCAGTGCCCACACTGGCAGCAGGGTGGCCCCTTGAGGGGTCGTGGGCAGGGCCCCTTGGGGCATCTGCCCAGGCTTGTCTGTGGCCTTGTGCCCGGCTATGCCCAAGGTGTGGCTATGGCCTGGCCAACTGGGTCCCTGCCGCAGGCAGCCCAGGCTCATTCTATTCATGACATCCCAAGTGCCGGTTGTGGGAGGCGGCAGCACCCTCGCACGAGTGAGTTGGTGACCACGATAATGGCCACTGGGCTGGCCGGCGATGTCCCTGCGGGGTCAGCGGCTGTTTGCACAGCTCTGAAACATGTTCGGTTGTTCGAAGCAAATCACCGATAGCTGTGGACTTAGGGGGTTTCTGCAGAGGTGGAGCCCCAAACAGAGCCCCTGCCCTGGGTTCTCAGGTGCAAGGAGCAGAGACTGACCCTGGCTCATTTTAACCAGAAAGAGATGAGCAGTGGAGGACAGACAGCCACACAGACAGACAAGGACAAAGAGCAGGCTAGACAGCCAGACCTCAGCCATGGTCACCCCCACAGAAAGGGCTTGTGAGCACCTCTGCTGATGCTGCTGGGTGACAATGGCCCTGCTCCCTGTGCTCCCATCCCAGGGGCTCTGAGCCTGGGACCCCACTGGCCTCATGGCCCTTGGAACCTGGAGGCTGCAGCTGGGGCCTCTCAGTTGAGTCACTAGCTTCAGGTTCAAGGTCAACAGTGGAGATGTCCGTTGTCGCAGCCCAGCCCCTGGCTGCGAGGAGAACGGGAGAGCAAGTGGTTGGCGTGTCAGACTCTCCCCATGCCCCGGTGGGGCTTTCTAGACACGGGGAAGAAGAAGCCCCTGCAAACGTCTCCTAGACAGTGCACGTTGCGAATGCCCGGGGTGAGGCGAAGCAGGTCTGTTCATCCTGCAGGATCCCATTAGGTGGGAGAACCCAACTGAGCACAAACGCATCTGGGGAGATTGGTCTCCTGGTCAGTTTTTGGTGAAGTGGCCACCTAGACAGGCAATTTCCAAACCCCTAATTCTGACTTACTTTTGGGGCATTCCCCAGCCTGGTGCCAGCTGCCAGGTCCCCCTCTCATAGTCATCACCCCCAAGCCACCTCCCAACACATACCCTCCTTGGTAACAACAGGCAGCCCCAAGGCTCACCTGGCAATGAGGCCAGGGGCACGGGGCAGAGGTGCCCGAGCTGCAGCAACTTGGAGGGAGCAAGGAGGGTAGACAGGGTCCCAGGATGCCAGGGATACTGAGGGAGGCCCCTACACACACCTGCACGTGAACACATACATATACAGACATGCACACGCACACACACGCACACACACACACCAGTCCTGCACAGCTGTCCTCCCTGGTGCAGAGTTCAGGGAGGAAGACGCAGGAGCCCTGGGCCAGGTCCTCCACACGACTGAGGGCCAGGACCCCTGTGAGCCCCCCTATATGAACTGGGGGTCCTTACAGTGAGGAACGAGGGGCTGGTGGCTGAGCTGGGGCGGGGCCACACACTCCGTGGACGGCCCCTCGGATGGGGAGGGAAGCAGAAGCAGTGAGGGCTCTCATCTCATGAATATTTGACACCTCTCTGTCTGGGAGAGGGTCGGACTGGGCTGCCAGGGACGTTAATAGCCACTCCGGCTCCCTCCCCTGGATTGGAGGCTGTGGGGCACCAAAGGGAGGGGCCCTGAGAGACGGTCCTCCCTACCATCCCTGTGCTGGGAGGCAGCAGAGTCTAGGACAACTGGCTCAGTGAGGAGACCCCCATCCCTGCTTAGAATCCCAGGGGCATTTCAGATAAAACCAAATGCCCTGGGCTGCCTGCAAAGCCCCACTACAGCCAACCCTGCTTGACCCTGGTCAGCCTGTCTCATCTGCCCACTACCACCCACTCTGCCCTTCACATGCCCAGCACCACCATTGTTCTCCACCCCCACTTCCCTCCCCCACCCCCACACTCCCCTCCCCACCCCCACACTCCCCTCCCCACCCACTCCCCCCACCCCCACACTCCCCTCCCTCCACCCCCACACTCCCCTCCCTCACCCCCACACTCCCCTCCCCACCCCCACATTCCCCTCCCCCACCCCCACACTCCCCTCTCCCCATCCCCACCCTTTCCCCTCACCCCCCACTCCCTCTCCCACCCCCACACTCCCCTCTCCCCACCCCCACCCCTTCCCCTCACCCCCCACTCCCTCCCCCACCCCCACACTTCCCTCCCTCCACCTGCACATTTTACCCCCCTGGACCCTCAAGGCTGACCTCTTCTCCTGCCATCCTTCAAGTGGGGTACTGGGACTTCCCCCCACCTCCAGGTTGCCCTCCTTCATGCAGGCCTCATCCCAGCACCTGCAGGGCCTCACAGCATGCAGGGTTTTTGAATTTATGCTATGAATTTGTTTCCTGATGCATTTTCTCTCTGCTCCCCTCTTCCCCCTGCCCACGTCCGCTCTGAGGGCTGGCCCTGGCCACTGTGTGGATTTCTCTTCCCTGTCAAGCACCCAGCACCCAGGAGGCCCTCAGGTCCAAAACCCAACAGTAAGAGAACAGAGTATCAACAAGAAGACGCAAAGCCATGCACAGATGTTTCCCTGAGGAGGACGCACAGTGGCCAGGAAGCACATGAAAAGATGTTCAAGGTCATCAATCACCTGGGAAATGCAAACAAAACTGTCGTGTGATGTTATCATACTCCCGGAATGGCTAAGCAAGAGATAGCAGCGCCCAGCGCCGACAATGATGCTGAGAAACGGCCTCACTCCAGCATTGCCGACCCTGGTCGGGATGAGAAATGCTCTAGCCATTCTGGAAAATATTTGGTGACTTCTTAAAAAAATAAATATGCACCCTGGCCGTTTGGCTCAGCAGTTACAGTGTCAGCCCGTGGACCAAAGAGTCACGGGTTCAATTCTGGTCAAGGGCACGTACCTCAGTTGCAGTTTGGTCGTGCGGGAGGCAGCCAGTTGATGTGTTTCTCTCACGTGAATGTTTTTCTCTCTCTCTCCCTCCTCACTCTGTCTGAAAATAAATAAAAAAATATCCTCAGGTGAGGATTAAAAATAAATGAATAAATGCATACACACGGAACCGCCATCCAGCCCAGCGACGCCCCCTTGAGCACGTCTCCCAACAAACTGGAGCCTGGGCAGGACTGTTCACAGCAGCTTCCTGTCACAGCCCGGCCTGCAAACGTGCGAGCTGCCCTCGCTCGGCGACTGGTTAAGCACTGCGCACGTCCACACGTGGGACCAGAGGCAGTGAGCAGAAGGCACAGACCACTGACGCACCGAATAAACTGGGTGAATCCCCAGAAAATTATCCAGAATGAAAGAAGCCAATCTCAAAAGGTCACCTACTGTACGATTCTTTTTCTAAAACGTTTCGAAATAACGAGATTTTAGACACGGACAGATTCGTGGGCCAGGGGTTCCCACAGGGGCAGAGGTGGGAGGGAGGGCGGTGTGGTTCTCCAAGGGCAGCGCACGAGATACCCGGGAGGGGCCCGCCTGTGCCACGGCAGTGGGGGTGGAAGCACAGAGCTACATGTGTACATAAAATCACACCCACTAAGTGCACACGAATGAGCACATGTGGACCTGGGGAGGTCTGAGAGCCTGGTGATGGCGCTGTGTCCGGGTCCCGCTGCG